TTCGACAGTGACAAGTGGCTGCCGACACTCATTTCCGAACCAACCTTGTTGATTAGGCTCGGAATCAGGTTCAGCTTCGCCACTTTCCGGACCTCCTCCTTCTACTTGTCTCTTATATGCTTCATTCACTCTGCTTCCTCATACTACTTCTCTGTTTCTCTACAAAAAGTCTGCAAATTAAATAAATAAAAATCCCATGCAATTCATACAAAACACACAGTTCATGGGATTTTTGAATTTATGAACAATTCCATAAAATATTCAAAGAATTTTTCTGGGTAGTTTTGTGTCAGACTGTTCAGAATTCTACTGTAATTCAGTTGTAGAATTTTTTTTGAAAAAATGTTGCACGCAAAATCAGAGTCAGATATAACAAGTTTAGCTCCGTCGTCGCCGTCGAGGTCACCAAAACGGCCAGTTTACTATGTACAGAGTCCTTCAAGGGACTCACAGGATGGGGATAAATCAGCATCCATGCAGCCGACGCCGAGTTTCAACAGTCCAATGGAATCTCCTTCGCATCCTTCATTTGGGCGGCACTCGAGGAATTCGTCGGCTAGTCGATTTTCCGGGATATTTAGGTCGTCGTCCGGCAGGAAAAATGGCCGGAAAAGGAACGATAAAGGGTGGCCGGAATGTAATGTAATTTTGGAAGAAGGTAAGTATGATGAATTTGATGAGGAGAAGGGATTAACTCGGCGGTGTCAGGCTTTGCTTGCTCTTTTGGGGTTTGTTGTTTTGTTCACTATCTTTTGCCTCATCATATGGGGCGCTGGACGTCCTTTCAAAGCTGAGATTACTGTCAGGGTATGTTTCTTTGCTCCCGTAGAAAGCGAATTCAGAATTTTGAGTTTATTGATTCTAAAAATTTAGTTATAGGATTTTGGCAAAAGCTAATACTCTAGTAGAATGAAATTTCTGAATTTTGTGTTACTACTCCAAATTATGAGACATAGGTAGTATATGTCAGCTTCTGGGCAAGAGGCTAAACTGTCTGCAGTTTTGATGGTGTTTTGGCTTTTATTGCGCATTGGTAATAGATATGACTGTTTTCAGCACTAAACAACATATTAGTACTAACTTTATTGAAATAAACAATGGCACTGTTGGAATTTCGAATTCGAGAGGCAGTGTTTTTCTTTGATATGTAGTTTTCAAATATATACATTTTATTTCAGAAAAACTGAAAGTTTCTGTTTGAATTCATAGTCAGAGTTAGGACAAAGGAAGTTCACACGGGGTGGAGTTGCAATATTGAAATAAGGATTGAAACTATTGTGTGAAATTCCTGTGTGATTTCATGCTTCTAATGGTACTAAGTATCCTGATACAACATCCAATTCCATCTATCATGACACTTCTTTATTGAATTTAGTATGCGTGTGTGACTTGTTATAATTGATCCAATTGATAGTATAGAGGATGGTAGCAGCGAAATCCAAAATTGACATGGTTATATTTCAATAGCAAGTCACTGATAAGCACTCTTTCTCCTCATGATGTTAATTTTTTTGTCAAGAGCTGCAAGTGGGGACTAGGAAAGAAGGCTTAAAAGCCAGAAAGCCAGAAAGCCTTTGGTTCATAGTTCTAGCAAGTTAACCAACTTTTTCTTTGTGGTTCTTTTCAGAGTATGGTTGTGAATAACTTCTACGTTGGTGAAGGTTCGGACTTCACTGGAGTTGTAACTAAGATGATGACAGTGAATGCGTCGTTGAGAATAAGTGTGTACAATCCTGCTACGTTCTATGGCATTCATGTTACCTCCACCCCCATCAATCTCATCTATTCAGACATCGTTGTTGCTAGTGGTCAGGTAATCTCATTACATATTTCTTTCATTTCTTGGTAAGGATATCTCTCTTGTTGTTCTGCCTTTTCAATTAGCAAGCATTGTTTTAGCAGGGTGTTAGATGGACAGTTTGGACTAATTTAGGCAAGGTTAAACAGATTGAGTGAATAATAGATTGGTAATAGACTCCCCAATATTTGTGTGGATAAAGAATGGACGGGTCAAATTGGGCTAAACAAAGGATCGTAACCCAACTCAAAATCATTTTCATTTAGGTGTTTGTTCTTTTATAATTTTGTCTAATTACCAAACTAATAAAAGTTTTTTTTTAATCGTAAACAAACACAAAAACTTATTTTTTAATGTTTTGATAAGTTATTTTTTGGGCTACATTCTGCAGTCCAAATTGACCTTACCCTTTTAGATAGGCTAATTTGTATTATGCTTAAAATAACCTGTCAATCTATATATACCGAGTCTAACTTGCCCAAGTTTGGGGGGTTTGACATGTTATGTTTTTAAAGGGCTCAATGTGACACCCTCTCTCTACGAGCTGCCAAATTCATGGCGGGAAATGTCACCAATGTTGAGAAAACGGAGAAACAACATCGATTAGTAAAACTTGACCTATTGCACGTCTTGCTAACGTCATATTCTTAATTTTCTTTGGTTTTGCAGCTAAAAAAATATTTTCAACCGAGGAAGAGTAGGCGGACCGTGTTAGTGAGCATAGAAGCAACAAAGGTTCCCTTGTATGGAGCTGGATCAAGTCTTGATGCAGCAACCAACGGCGGTTTTAAAGTTCCATTAAAGTTGGAGTTTGAAATCAAGTCGCGCGGAGATGTGGTGGGGAAATTAGTCAGAACAAAGCACAAAAAGGAAATCTCATGTGATTTAGTCATTGACTCAATTAGCACAAAACCCATCAAGTTCAAGAAGAATTCTTGTGTTTACAGCTGAAGAAGATATGATCGTTTGCTTCATTTTCAGTTTGTGTGCAGACAACTTTCTGTAAAATTCTCTTCTTAGCAAAGTTCAATTTTCACTTTGGGTGTGACAAGCTTATGTAAAATTTCTCTTTTTATTAGCAAAGTAAGTCCAATTTTGAGAACACTATATATCATTCGAATAAAATAGCATTTCCCCCAAAAGAACATTGTTGGCTGTAAGTTGAATTGGTGTACATATGTAAGTTTGGGTTCATGAATGATAATTGTATTATGATGATCTATTTACCAACTGTCTATATAAGAGCGTGGGAGGAAGGGAGCGTCCTCCTTCGTATCAAGAGTGTGTTGGGGAGGCTAGGGAAGATGGATTGGATCGAGAGACAATGATCATGCCTCTCCTTTATCGACAAAATTTTCATCATTTTCAGTCTACGGCGTCATTAGTGACCAAAAAAAAGAGTTCCAATTCCAAGTTTCTATTGTTTTACTTTTAGATAGATTGATCAACAATAGCATAAAAAATTGTAAACGAAAATGGGATTTTAAGACATTCTATTAGACTTAAATCAGAAAATGTACTAATTAATGGAAAATGTACTGCTTTAGGAATTGAAAATGGAATTAGCATTTTATAGGTTTAACTTTTTGTGCAACTACAAAAAGAACTTTTTTTTATGTGTTATTATGGTCATATTTTACTTAGTTACAATATTGCCTAATTCCTAACGCCGATAACCATAATGTAAAGCTTAAATTTTCCTATATTACGTTGCCGACTGAAACCGTTAGTCAAATAACATTAAACTACTATTAAAGTATGGTTGAATGGATTGAATTTATTCAGCTTTAACTAAAAGCATTGATTTTGAGGCTTAAATATATAAAAGGTTTTAATAGAAAACGTGTCTAATAGGGAAGTCTTGGGTTCCTATAAATATTTATTGTAACACACTTCAATTATCACCTTTTTCATCTAAACAAGAATGATATTTCAAATAAGAAAAATGAACAAATAATAGTTAAAGTTTGTTTTGATAAATATTTAGTAATAGTTCAGGAAGAAAATTCATATTTGTGACAATATATCTATAGAACTTCAACTCCGAACACTGGGTGGGAAACTAAAAAATAAAAACTGAAAAATCTATGGAACTCCAAAAAGAAAGTACTTCCTCTCTGTTCCAATTTAGTTGTTATGTTTCGCTTTTCGAGAGTCAGCTTGATAATTTTCAAAGCTAAATTAGGTTGCATTCATTCTATATTTCAAAATAAAATTTTAGATATTCAAAATGTCATATTCAAAAACTATACGGAAAGTATTATAAATTGTGACTTTTTTTTCATATCAATATGATGAAAAAATACACTTTAAAATGTTAATCAAAATTTATATCGATTGACTTTCAAAAAAGAAATTATGACAATTTAAAAAAAAATGGAGGGAGTAGGTGTGTTTTTGACTATTTAACCAAAGCAAAAAAAAATGCAGATTATTCTGGAATCGAAGTCAATTTATGTTATACTCCCTCCGTCCAACAATACTTATCCATTATAAATTTTGCACACTTTTTAAAAAACTATAAATAGAAGGGTAATTTTATTATATCACCATTAGAATATAATAAATAGTGATAAGGGTCTGAAAAATACCCCAACTTTGGTCGAATTTGCTGTTGCGTTACTAAACTTTCATGAGGACCTATTACCTCCCTAGATTATTTAATACCGTATTTTAAACATATATATTTTTCCATGTGAACATAAAAAGTAATGCAAAATTATAAATAGTAATGTGTCCACGTGGGCACATATATATCTTTAAAATACAGTATTAAATAGTTCAGGGGGTAAAAAATACGGTATTAAATAGTCTAGGGAGGTAATAGGTCCTTATGAAAGTTTAATATCGCAACAACAAATCCAACCAAAGTTGGGATATTTTTCAAACTCTTATCTCTAAAAAATATAATATCTAGAAAAATGTAATAGAGAAATTATTGTAATTAATAATAATGGTAAATTAGAAATTAAGGAAAAAATTATTTATTAATTTTATAAAATAGACAAATACTATTATTAAACATTTCAAAATAGTAACATTATTATTGAACAGAAAAAGTAAAAAAAATAAAATATCTCTCGAATAAATCTTTGGCGATCAAAATCTAAATTAATCACTCCTAAACACAAGTACCGACATTGGGCTAAAAGAATGATAGCATTAAAATGTGGCGCGATTGACGTTACTTAAATATAAACTCTGGTCAGCCTTGTTCAGCGATGTGCCCCCCACTTCTTCCGTGACTGTCCCCTCACCCTTTTCACTTCACTTTACATCTTCATAGATCCCTATCAAATTTGCACCCATTTTCAGTATAAAAACTAGAAATCCCAACAAGAATTGATCTATATATTCAATAGTTATCATGTTTACTCCAAAACCCTCTTCAAGATTTGTCCTTTTTACCTTAATACTTCTTCTCTTGCTCAGCTTTTTGGCTCCATCAATTTCTTCTGAGCTTGACTTAGATGATGAAGATGGTGATGACATGGAAGGTTTGGAAGAACTCATAGCATTGGATGAAGAAGAAGATTTGCAGCAAAAACCGGAAGGGGCGCATCATGAGAAGCAATCTGAAGCTGAGTTTGTAAGTAAGGCACAAAGAATAGTACTTGAGCTTAATAATGACAATACTAAGAGGGCAATTGATGGAAATGAGTATGTTTTGGTTCTGGGTTACACTCCCTGGTGCGCCAGGAGTGCGGAGTTAATGCCGAAATTTGCTGAGGCTGCTACTGCTCTCAAAGAATTGGGGAGTCCGCTTTTGATGGCGAAGATTGATGCTGAACGATACCCTAAAGTTGCTTCTACTCTCGAGATCAAAGGGTTCCCGACTTTGCTTCTGTTTGTCAATGGCACTTCTCAACCTTACACTGGTGGATTCTCCGCGTAAGCAATTTTTGAATATCTAAATTTTGATTTGATCTAATCCAATTTCGTTTCAAAGATTAGTCAAGTTGACTCTTGTTAAACTAAAAATGCCACATAAATAGGAAAGGAGGGAGTAGTAAGCTAGTACAGTAGTAAAATTAGGAGGACAGACTTGTGTAGCTCTTTATGTTGTGCTTTCATATGTGCATTGGATTTGTTGATTTACATCTGTGGTCCGCATATCAATCAGGGAAGAACTTGTTATCTGGGCAAGGAAGAAGACAGGTGTACCTATTATTAGAATTAGCTCAGATGCTGAAGCAAGACACTTTCTCAAGAAGCATACCATGTTTGTGGTTGGTGTGTTTGAGAAATTTGAGGTATTACCTTTCGTCTCATTTGGCATTCAGTTGATACTATCATTTTTTTATTAGTATAGGAATTAGAGAACTTGTGTAATTCGTTTATTCATATAAAATTGAAATCAAGAATGTATCATATCTTCTAATTTTTAAAAGAAGTATGTTAACATACCAGGGACTTCATATCTTAATAAAGTGAGCACTAGGTCTGATCAATCAATTAATTTTGCCTCAATGCCAGGTTAGTTGGGTTCAGCCATATGAATCATCTGGTTCATTCCTCTATATACATGATCAAAATTCATTCCAAAATTAAATAAATTTTAATGTAAAGTAAATTAGGGGTTCTCTAAGACTGCATACTATCAAAATGTCACAGTTACTCTTACTTTTGACATAGAAGGTTCTACACTGCTGTGTCTCAAAAAAAAAAGTTTCTAAACTGGTACCAACTAAGTCCTCTTTGATCTGAAACAGAAATAAAAGCTTAATAGTAGGATGGTTGATAAGGAAAGGCATTTCTAGCTGCTTTTTCCTTGTAACTATTGCTATATGCTGTTTATTTTTTCATTTTTTCACCTAAAAGTTGATTCTGTTTATGTATCCTTCATCTCTTAGAGTATCTTTGCTACTTCATTTCTTCTGATAGAAGTTAGTAAATAGTATTGCTTTAGTTTTCACCTTTACGTGTTTTATTTATTGTCTTATAACTGCCTATGATGCACCAGGGGACAACATCTAGTGAAGTTCAGTGTTATTTGTTTGTTCAACTCAACTTTATCCACCCATGGTTTGGTTAATGATGAAATCATTCTGTACATTTAATTTTCTGCTTTATAATGCATACAACATAATAAGGACATTTTTAGATAGGCTAAAATAAATATAAGGACATTTTTAGAGTATCTTTGCTACTTCATTTAAGGACATTTTTAATTAGGTTATAATGCATACAACCTTCCTGTTTTAGTCGAATTTCCCTCATCTCACCAAAATATAAATAGGCTACCGAACAAAATAGTTTGTGGAAAGATTTGCTTCTGACATGCATGTATAATCATACAGGGACCTGATTATGATGAATTTACAAAAGCAGCTGAAATGGACAATGAAATTCAGTTTGTGGAAACTAACAATGCAGAATTTGCCAAGCACCTCTTCCCTGATTTTAAGCCAACCAGACTTTTCCTTGGTCTAGTTAAAAGTGAGCCAGAGAAATACACTGATTATGGTAGGTTTCCTATTTTTAGATTCCAGAGTTACATTTTACACCACTTCCGTGCTCAAGAATTACTATTCTCTCACGATAGATGGTTGTTCCTGACTATGCCTGCAGCCGAGCAGTTAAATCTACAACTGCTTATTCATTGAATGGCTAAAAGTTTGGAAAGATTAAATGGCTATATCATTCCCTAATCTCTAGGAACATTGCTGTTACTTTTTAATCTAGACTTGATTTTTTCAGTAGCATTGCATTGTTTAATAGCATATCACTATTCACATCATTGATATGGTTTGCAGAAGGAATCTTCAGTACAGATGGAATCTTACAGTTTTTGGATGATAACAAGTTCCCCTTAACTACAGTACTTACTGAACTTAACGCTGCTAGAGTTTACTCCAACACAAACAAACTTCAGGTAACTTTTGTGCCTGACTCATTGTACTTTATATCTTCTGTTTCCCAAAGTGATTGACATCTCCATTTAATTGTAATTCATATGCTCATGCACTTCTTAGTATTTCATAATATAAAGACTTGCATTTCTCTATGAAAGAAAGGTGAAGAAAACAAAGGCTGTTCTCCTGTATTGTTGAAACAATGTTAGTCTTTGATATTTGTGAAAACACTTGTATATCCAAGTGTTGATTTTATCAAAATCATCTTTGAGCTGGTATAGAGTCAGCAATTTTATCCATGAGAAGCAGAGGTCAGCTGTAACACCAATAATTTCATCGTTTTTTTTTCTTGCGTGGACATTTTTACTTTCACAAATATATGTTAAAACACCTATAATAAGAAGAGGAGACTACTAACAAAGTTCGTTACAATTCTGAGCATCTATTGTTGTTTAACCAGACTGGACTTAGCTTTTGCTGTTGGATATAGAGTTTGTAACAAACACTTTTATGAGGAAATTCTCATCTCTCCAGCCAACACACTGTTCAATGTATATCTAGTTCTTGAATTTTTTAAAGAGACTGTAATCATGTACTAATGTGTGATAATTGTTGGATTGTTATAATGTGTGATAATTGTTGGATTGTTACCTATGTTTCAATGCCATATAGGTGTTGATAATTGCTGAGCCTGATGACTTCAAGAAACTTGTGGAACCTTTGCAAGACGTTGCAAGAAAGTTCAAATCAAAGGTTTCTCTCTTGTCTGGATCTAGTGAACCAGATTTTTCTTCCTTTCTGGATTTGTGTAATTGACATCTGCCTTTCGATTGCAGATAATGTTCATATTTGTAGATATTAGAGAGGAAAATCTTGCAAAGCCCTTCCTCAGTATGGTTGGTCTAGAAGAATCAAAAGACTCCGTGGTTAGTTTTTCATGAAGTATTTTTCAACTTCTCGATATTAGCTATTTATTAAGTTTGCTCAGACAACCCTTCCTTTGTGTGGATGCACAGGTAGTATCTTTCAACTACAGTAGCAGCTTGAAGTACTTGTTGGAGTCAGATACCACACCAACAAGCATAGAAGTATCAATATCTCTCTAATTGCTTTCTTTCTAGGCCTTTTCAAATTATGATTTGAAATTCACATTGCGGATTGATTTCTGCAGGACTTTTGTTCAGGTCTTCTGAGTGGAACTGTGTCACCATACTACAAATCACAACCAATTCCTGATAACGTAATTCTTTTAACAATAATTCTCATGATGTCAGTTTATGTTTTGGCAATTAGGAAAACATTATTTGCAGTTCTTTAGCTTGCCTAATTTAAGTTACGTTAGTAGTATAGCTTGTATCTGGCATAATGGTCTGGTAATTTCCGTAATAACTAGCTGAAAAATTCTCTGGATTTACAGAGAATGTATCACATCATACTCGTAATAATAGCTCAACAAGCTTTCTTGTGTTACACTATATCCGTTGTCTGAGCATTAACTTTACTAGTTCTGATCAGAATTTCTGCTATAGCATCAATTTATCTACATGCTCTGGAGCTTCCTTTAGTGCCATAACATACTTTGTGGTCTGCCTCATCTCTGCGCCAGAGGATTTTGTTATGTTGATTGATCAAGTTCTGTGCTTGTCTAATCCGGAATTGTTTTAAATCATAATTTCTATTACAGATGCAGCTTATGTTTTTTGATCTGATCCTTTTTGCTTGACATTAGCCGAGGAAAATTTGATATAGTTATGTTTATAAAAGAAAGTTGTATTAACTCTAAAGAACCTTTGCTCCATAATTGCAGAAGAACATGAGCATTCTGACAGTTGTTGGTAAGACCTTTGATGAATTGATCCTGAACAGTCCCGAAAACATTCTTCTAGAGGTTTGTATTGTTTTACACAAATCAGACACTTGTTGAAACTTCAGTCTCATTTTCTTAAGTGTTTGTTAGAGTTCTTGAGCATTTGGTATATGAATTAACTGCAGAGGAAAAATGACATACTTTTTCCTTTGTTGAGGAAACTCACATTAAAGATGTTATGCATAATCTTATAGTTTCATAATAATGTATCTCTACTCATGTACTGAAGATATACACACCATGGTGCATAAATTGTGAAACCACAAGCAAGCAAATGGAGAAGTTGGCCAAGCATTTCAAAGGTTTGGACAACTTGATCTTTGCAAGGATAGATGCTTCCCTAAATGAACATCCGAAATTACAGGTGAGGATACAAAAAACTTTATTCTTTTGATCTAAATTGATACCGTGCTCAGATCCTTGATGCTTTTGATGAAAAAATTCCTGTCTGAATATTTTGTCCAGACATTAAGTTACCAACAACTAGGCCTCGGTCCCAAACAAGTTGGGGTCGGCTATATGAATTTTCACTGGTCATGATTCTCCATTTAAATTCATCTCAAACCAACATTATGCAGAATATGCATTAAGTTACGACTCCGTTTAGCATCCATAGATATATATGACATAAGGTCGAGTTTTCCTCCTTGGAGAAGTGGATTGAGTTTAGAGAAAGGAATCAATAGAAAATTCCTACAAGGGATGTGAAATTACAAACTTTTTCCCCAGAATTTACCCTAAATTACTTTCCACTACCTTGACAGATGTTCTGTGATACACAATGCTGTATTTGCCCAGATATTTGCTTTCATCAAAAACCTAATATCAATATCTTCAGAATATTTGACTGTGGATTATGTTATTGACACACAATTTCATCTTTAGAAATTCACCTTAGAGATCCAGATAAGGGGAAGGCAAAAGTCTCCTCTATTAGAGTTCCTTCCTTTCCATCAGTTTAGAGGATTCTGCCACCAAACTCTTCTTGACTCTTTGTGTCCACTGCATGGATTCTTCTGGTAGCCAACAACAGATATGCCTAGTTGAACTCTGTTACATTATTTGTACCTTGAAATAGTCTCGTGTCAGTTCTATCATTTTTTATGTGTGCTAGAGAAACAGTTGAATTGTATCTTGTCTAGCATAAACTGCAAAGAGAGTATCCCAAATTTATGCTAATGATGGGAGATGTCTAGCATCTTAAGATTCTGATTAGTTATTAATATTGAATTTGCTCTTACCAACATCCAGGTTGATGACTATCCAACTCTTCTCTTCTACTTAGCAGATGACAAGACTAATCCAGTAAGCTCTAATGATTAATACAATTTGATAGTTTCTATTTTCCTTGCTCCCCTTTTAATGGGTTTCCCTGTTGAATTTTCTTGTGTAGATACCACTTCCTACAAAATCAAGCACAAAAGAATTGGCTGCTCTCATCAACAAGAATTTGAAAGAATACAGCCGTGAAATTAGAGATGAACTATAGGAAACAGTTTCATGCAGGGACAAGCTAATTAGTTTGAAGACGAGGAGAATTATACATCATATATATGATACCTGCCGGTTATATGAGTAGATATTTCAGAGAGTTGAGATAGAGGTCAACAGTTGAGTAAACAGTTGAGCATATTGACGTGAACATTTCTGTAACCCCATCCAAAACCTGAATTTAAATACATAGTATACTATTACATGTATTTGGAGCATATTGTATGATTTAAAATGTTGGGATTACATCACATGTTGATGCTTATATCTAGTGCTCAATCAACTTTGAGTTGAATAACAAGTCAAGTTTGCATGTGTTTTGGAATTAAAGATAACAAGCCCATCAAATTCATCGCAAATGTTTTGGGGTAGTTCCACTTGATTGTTTCCTTTGTAACCCACTTACCTAACTAATCTAAATTCACATCGCATAGAGCCAATAAATAGGGAAGCTGTGTGTCAAGATATCGAGATATTTGTTTAACAGTTGAGAGCCTTATCAATCATAGACAAGCATTTACAAATACTGCAAATTGGCTCCGTCAATGTGAACAATCGATTTTAAGTTGTGTACACATCAAATACAATTTACATTTATAATGCCTAAGTTGATTTCCTGAAGCTGACAACCATAATGACCAAATACATGAAATGAATTCAATTCAATTTTTTTGCCTAAGGATTATATGCACATATATTATCAAACCCCATATGTTGTCCTTCGTTGATCTTTTTAATCGTGTCTGCTATGCCAAATCCACCTGCAGACATTACCAGATAAATGAGCCAATGATCAAAAGTAGAGAATGCTTCCATCTGAGTGAAAACATCAAGAAACTTGCCTAATGATATTGCGCTCACAAAGATTGTGAAGGCCAAAATGAAGATAATCACAGAGGCTCTACCAACTATGCTAATTATTTTTCGTACAACATGCTGTCCTACTAAGGCTGCAATACTGGCCACGGCAATAAAATACAGTGCTGAAACATATCCAGAGAAAAAAAGAACGTGTTAGTAAACAAGTAAACAGATTCCCAGGTTTCTTCATTACCAATCATTACTACAAGCTTTGAATCATTGAATGTAATTGCTTGAATACCACCTATCTAAGAAGATGATTCTTTTTTAAGGCTTCAAAGCATCGCCCTTACCATATGGTACTGGAAAACGTCCTAGCAAGTAATATTGTATGACGGACATGGAGGAGGAAAATATCATCACAAAAGCAGCAGTAGCACTTGATACCTACATTAAAAAAAAATTACTACCTGTGTGAGTGCCTCTTTGAGGAGTTGGGAACCTAAATAGGCCACAAAAATATAAAAGTGACCAAAATAAGTCACTATTTTAGAAAAGTAACTAAAATAGGCTTAGTGGAAGAAAAAATTCCACTTTATCTAATATTCTAAACATTTTCCGTTAGTCCCATAACGTGTATATTTTAATATATAACGGAACTATTTCCTACACTTTATAAAATGGAACTATTTCTTACACTTTTATAAAGTGTAAGTTTTTCTTACACTTTGTAAAGTGGAACTTTTTCTTACACTTTATAAAGTGTAAGAAAAATTTTTGTTTAATAAAGTGAAACTTTTTCTTACACTTTATAAAGTGAAACTTTTTCTTACACTTTATAAAGTGAAACTTTTTCTTACACTTTATAAAGTGAAACTTTTTCTTACACTTTATAAAGTGAAACTTTTTCTTTAATATATAACGGAACTATTTCCTACACTTTATAAAATGGAACTATTTCTTACACTTTATAAAGTGTAAGAAAAAATTCTGTTTTACAAAGAGGAATATTTTTCACGTTTTTATCTCTTTATGAAGTTTTTGCAGTGTTTGTCATACAATTATATTGATTTGACATATCATAAAAACGGAAAAAACTATTACAATATGTATTTTTATTTTTTTATTCTGAAAAATCCTCCAATCTCTATTTAAGGACGTTCAAACATAGTTGATAGCACCTACAACATAAAGTCTTCTATATTTGTTCATTTCAATCTCAAAAAAAAAAATGTCTTCTAAATCAAAAGTTAGTGTTTCGATTTATTGGGATGGCGAAATTATACATGACGGAAATACCGTTTATTATAAGTGTCATCCCAAATACAATGCAAAATATTAAATTAATGTTCGATATCACAAAAAAATTTCATCAATTTATAAAAGAATGGGTATAAACAGTACTGTTTATAATTTGATTATAGTCGGAAAATACCCTACTTCATTTTTATCACAAGGACAAGTAAATTTTGGAGAGTGGATTATCTATAATGACGAATCGTTGACCGACTTTTTGAGGGTTCCAAATGACTACATAGATCAAATCAAGTTAACAATACTTGAAATCTATGTTAGGAAGGAGCCTAAGACTAGTCAACAACGTTCTTAAAGTGGAACTTTTTCTTACACTTTATAAAGTGTAAGAAATAGTTCCATTTTATAAAGTGTAGGAAATAGTTCTGTTATATATTAAAATATACACGTTATGGGACTAACGGAAAACGTTTAGAATATTAGATAAAGTGGAATTTTTTCTTCCACTAAGCCTATTTTAGTTACTTCCTAAAGTAGTGGCTTATTTTGGTCACTTTTATGTTTTTGTGGCCTATTTAGGTTCCCTGTCCCTCTTTGAGAAACTACAACTGTTTAATTTAGGACAAGATACTTCTTTTCTCTTTAATCATCAGGATGTTCCGAACTAGAAGTATTAAAAGAGATGAAATGCACCTGAGGAGGAATCCCTAGCTCCAGAAACAATGGACCCAAAATGAATCCACCACCAAGACCTAGCAGACCACCAACTATACCAGCCAAAATGCCGCAGCAACAGTAAAGAATCAACTGATGCACTTTCCATGTTATTACTGCTTCTCCACTCGAAAGAATCACCCTTGATCCCTTGTACAAGCAAACAGCTTCATATGCAGAAGCTCCAACAGCGATGGGGAGCTGAAAAGTAGGATAAACAGAAATTTTTAACTTTGTTAGTCAAAATTCTCTTTTCAAGTGAAGGAGAAGCTCATTTGGCTCATTCGACACGACCAGAAAGCAGGGGCCAGTTACAAATTATCAATTTAATACCACATAAGCTTTAGATCACACAACTTATAATTTAATTCTTCTCTGTCAAATGACATTGATAGGATTAATGGGATTTAGATGTGAATGAGAATGAGGGGCGAATTACTTACTCTGAGAAACAGTTCCGTTTACATCTAAATAACAATTAACTACCTGCAAGAGGCTTAAGGTCCAATATGTCGTGGAACAAGTTGGGGCATAATTCTGTATATAAAAAAGGCTCTCCAAATCAGTAAGGTAATATTGCATGAAAGCACAGAATGTAATCATCAACATCTAAAAGTAACAAAAGCAGGAACCTTGGAGACATGTAGAAATAGGATTATGATCCAGACAGCAATAAGTCTGGTGGTATCCTTCCAGTACATATTGTCAAAAATTGAGACCTGGAGTAGCTCAAGAAATCAGCATTGAAGAAATGTCACATCTAAATTCAGGAAAAAATATAAACTAGGATATTGTTTTAAGGAGTAGAGTAGATTGCGATGGACAGAAAAGTTTAGTGTGTGAAATAATTTGTGACACGGAGAGTATTAAGTACCTCCTTTGCTTTATAAACTTCATTTGAAAAAGTAGAATCATTTTTCGGACCTCCAGGTATAAGCTTGTATGCAACTTCTTCAACACCAGCATCTGATTTCAGTTTTAGAATATTACACAGATTTTCAAATATCCCTGTTGAGGTGTAGAAGATAGAGAAAATCGGCACTCACCATTAGATGTCAAGCGCCTAGCTGCTTCCTGGACGTGAAAGAAATATAGATGTATTACGAGTATATACTAAAAGACATTCTTGTCTTGTTCTCTACAATCACAGAAAAGGACCAAGAGACAACCTTTTTAATAATAGTTTCTTTCCTCCATGTCTCAACGCCCTTGAAGAATGCCTTGGTTGATGCAGCTAAGAGTCCCACAACCAATGAGAATACATACTGACAAAACAGACAAAATTGCAGCTGAAAATAGCAGTTACCTAAGAAAAGAATGATCAATAAGATTGTAACCATCCACTCGGCAAAAAGTATATTTAGTGCAACTCCAATACTGATCCCCAACAACAACATTGGTTGGAAAAGAAGAGCTAGATCATAATCAATGATGGGCAGGTCAAGTGATGGATGCCTCAGCTTAAGACAGTAGTAGACAGTTGCACCTGCTGCACCAGTGATCATACCTGCCAAGAAAAGCAAAAAACGGCGTAAAGCATGGAGATGATGATGTTGCAAAATGTGTTTAATCTAGGAAATACAAAAGGATAAAGGAAATTTTGGGACTCCTCTCAGAAGGCCACAACAAAGACTCGAGCTACTAAAAGACACAAAGTATTTGCAAGCACTTTGGAGTAATATCAAACAAGAAGTTTGACCTCTTAAAATCAAGTTTCAATTACAAATGTGTGTGAAACTAATAAGATTATAAATGAACTCTTACATTTTGATATTGCAGTTGATGTTTTTGGATCAAATCCAATGATCAAAGTAAGCACGGGGACAAAGATACCCCCTCCCCCGACACCTCCTACACTCCCAAAAGCAGCACCAAAGAATCCAATTACTGAACCAACAATCAACCTCCACCCAAATTCCAGTTCCTGCATTGCATAAAGCTCTTCATTGACAACATCCACTTCATTACATCAACATCTTGCCCAAAACTCAAACAGCCAAAAAAAAAAAAACAGCTTTTGAGCTAGTCAATCGTCACAGAGGTGGGTGCTGCTTATGCATTATTAATTCAACTAAACCCGTTTTCGACACAAAACATGGATATATATGCTAAAAATCTCGTAACATTTTAACAAGTACTCCATTAAAAATCTCGTAACATTTTAACAAGTACTCCATTAAGTTTTGAATTGCACCCAATGGTGTGGGTCTAGTGGTCACTGAGGTGTGTCGAGAATAATGAGGTCTCTGGTTCAAACTAGCCTTAGTGGACAGAGATACCTGGAACATGATGCTTGTGGGAGTTGGCAGTTATCCCGTGGAATTAATCAAGGTAAAAAAAGAAATTGAATCCAGAATTTGAGACCTACAATAAGTAAGGTGCTAAAAAACTTGAAAAGATTTGAACTTTTCATGTTTAAACTCTGGATCCATCTATGAATCATCATATCAGTTATCATTTGATCTCATAAATATGCCATAAAAAGTAAAGTGTTGTATAGGTAAGAACTTGAACTTACAGGCCAAACATGGTGGTAATGAATCTCA